CTGAAACGTTTACTGAATTTAAATTCTTCTTTAGATAGTTTACTATGAGTTTGGCTATTTTTTCGTAATGAATTTCCTGTAAAATTCTACTATTCCGTTGAATTGCTGTATTTCCTTATATGTTTGGAGGAAGGAAAATTTTGTGACGTATTCTATTTTTTTTGGTGTTTGGGCTTATATCTGGATTGGTTACTATGCGGCCGAGGAACTTCATGAGTTCGCATTTGTCCATTTACACTTTTAAATTAACTTCTTTTAAAAGCGGCCTTTGGAAAATATTGTTTAAGGTTTCTATGTGTTCTTGTAATGACTTTGAAAATAATGTTATGTCGTCGAGGGAAACTAAGCATCTTTTATCGACGTAATCTTTAAGAATGTTATTCATAAGGCTTTGGAATGCAGCCGGAGCTGTTTTAAGACCGAATTTCATTCTTAAAAAAACGTAGTGTCCTCCTTCAACGTTGAAGGAAGTCTCCTGTATGTCTTCCTCGTAGATATTGGTCTGATGACCCAAATCTTTAAAATATTTTATCCACATTAGAGACTGGATATTTATCACCAACTGTAATTTCATTGAGTTTTCGGTAATCTACCACAAACCATTTCTGTTTTCCACTTGGGCTGTTTTCTTCGGTACAATTCATACGGGTGCTGAATATAAGGAGACGCTATGTCTTACGATCCCATTTTTTAATATTTGGTTTATTTTTTTTTTGGACTTCTTGTTTGTGTACATATGGGTGCCTGTACGTTTTTGGTGAGAGTGAATTATCCATAGTTGCTTTAATTTGGTGTCTAATTACCTTTGTCAAACTTACATCGCTATTTTCTGCATAAAAGATTGTCTTATATTTTCTTAATAATTTTACTATTTCTTTGTTTTCTTCTTGAGTGAGGTGATTCGAACGGATTTGTTCCGTTATTGGTAGATTGACTTCTTTCCCTTCGTTTACATTTAGTATACAAAAGATTTTCGGTAACTCGCTCGGTAGTCGTGTTGGGAATAATAAGGGTGTTGATTCTTTAATTTCGATTAACGCTGATACGGTTGATTCCGTAGCCCTTGGTTTCATAGATTTCCTCTCTGATTTTAATGGTTCAGTTCTGCAATAATGATTACCTTTTGTAAACGAGATCTTCTTTACGTTGAGTAAATATTTTTAATTCGCAAGTAACGCTCTATTCTATCTTGAATATGTTTTGGTTATCATTATAAAAGATCTTCTTCTTATTACCTATTTGAAGTTTATTTCCTTTAAGATGTATGATGCTCCTAATGTTAATAGTTAATATTAATGTTAATTTCCTATTAGTCCATTAAATTCGTCGTGAAACTTACATACTAAGAATTCCGCTTTGGAAGAAATACATATATATATATATTAGGACAGATATTTTTTCTGTTTCTTTAAACTCCTGTTTTTAATGTTTAGGGTTAAAGAGTCCTGGGTTTAGTGACCCGTTTCTTTATCTATTAAAAATTATACTATAAAAAGTTACTTTCGATTTAACCACTATGTAGGATAGTTTGATACCGAGGCAATCTCCTTCCCTTGTGATTTTGTTGATATTTACTGCCCATAGTTGTCAAAAATAATTTTGACGGAAGTTGTTATTATTAATGCGGTTGTAGCTAGATTGACGCTTTCCATATAAGTTTGGTAACCGATATAGTTATTGAATATTATAATGTTCTGTTGTGGTTTTGTTGTTGTACACGATTGTTGGTTTGTTGCGGGTGGCGATTGTTTTTGTGAGACACGATAATTATTTTTCTGGATAACTTTTCTGTTGGAGACAATAGTTATTTACTGGAAGGTTTATTTCTTTGTGAGCTGATGGCATTAAATTGAGGTTGCTTATAACTATTGTTATTGCGGGGTTTATATTGTATAATTGTATTTTGCTTTTCATCGTGTTCATTGTGATCATTTACGTAAGCTGACCATGCTTCATTAATATGCAGAATGTTTCGTCGATTTGGTTGATAAAACTAAACAACTCTTTTTTTATTTTCATCAAAGATAGGGTATCTCGTAAAAAACTAAAGATATCAATGTGATTCTGTTGTTGGTTGTGTGTTTTTCTTTTTTTGCCCACCACTGGAAAAAGGGGTATAAACTTCAGAGACCCAATAAAGTATACATATTCTTGATCAAGGTGAAATTCTGACCTGATGTTGCCGTGTCCGTCCATCTGTGTGTCTGTGAGTCTGTGTGCGTTGTATTGTTTGCACTCTCCTGGTGCCAGACATGAAAATATGGACTTCGAATTTGGTAGATGCATGGGAAGTTTCTGCACGCAGGTTGGTACTCAAAATGTGCCAAATTGGTCAGAGCAGAAGCAAACGAGTTCTTTTAACAAAAATTTGTAGATTTTTGCTCGTTACTCAGAAATTATTAAAATGAAATGGTTGCAATTTTCCACATTTACTTTACGGAACACTGGAACCACTCGCCCATGCCCATACAAAGTTACTAGTAATAAAATTTAATTTTTTTTTTTTTCATTTTTTTGATGTTTTAGGCTTATTTATCATAAGGTAAACAAAACAGAATATTTAAAACTGTATTGTACACTCCTCAAATTAAAACCGTATTCTACGTTCCTCAAATCAAGACATATTATCTGCCTGAAAATTGGTGAATTTTAAAATCAATATGGCAGACACAGCGAATAATTTTTTCTTAGTAATGCCAGCGATAAAGGTAACAAATAAAAAAACTTGGAGAGAGAATGCGAAAGGCATAGTGCGATTCGTCACTGGTCGAATATAACTTTCTTACTTGTTTTTGTCTTTTTTTGTACATAGGACTTTTGCCCTGCTTTTTTTTTCTTTTTTACACTCTAAACACCCGCGTGGATCGCTTTAGTTGTTCTAGTTATATTCGAGGAGTAAAAGATAATGTTAAATGTTTAATTCTTAACCAAACAGCTTATTTGCTTGGTTTATGTTTGTACTCAGGTGCGCATGTGTTTTTGCAAAAGACGAGATATTGTTTCATTAAAAGTTCTTGTCAGAAGTGCTTAAAGTTCTGTTTCTTCCAAATATTTAATACAACTTGTTACGCCAGATGTAACGCCAAGTTGTCAACAGATGAGGAAAAGTCGAATATAAAAGTTGAATACGACGACGAATGTGGAAATATTGGAAACGATTATGCTAATATTGTATTAAGTGAATGGGTTCTTACTCAAGATAATTGAAAGCAGTTTGCATGTCTACAGACCGATGATACACCATTGTTGGCTCTTGATGATGAATCCAAACGAGCCAGCTTAAAATCTCAAAATACTTGGCAAAATGTAAACATCGGACATTCGACTTTAAATGTTCCAATGATGAATCGTAAAAATTGCTTGTTGTCATTAAATCAGAAAAAAAGAACAAACACCGAGCAATCAGCCAGAAGGACTGTATACTCCAAAAACTGCTCGAAAACATTTTTTATCGTTATCTAAGAGGCGTAACAAAGAAATTAGACCAACGTCGCGAGATCATTGGACATTCCAAAGACAAGAATCTGTATATACTCCTAATAATTTAAGGTCATCCAATGAACTCTGTGAGACACCCAATAGAAAATCATTACAAACCGAGACTAATTAATTATATTATTAGGCTACAAGAAAAGCCGTTTTTGATTTAAAAAGCGAAGTGCCTGTCTCTTTCAGCGCAATGTATTAAAATAATTATACAATAAATTAAAAATATTCTTTTTTAAGAAACCCAAGATTTGATTAAAATAAAAACTTCAAAAAAAAAAAAAAAAATATATATATATATATATTTTTCATTGTTTTAAGTCTTGTAGTCCCAAAAATATTTATTAAATATAGTGACGGTCGTCCATTTGCATATACAGAAACAATTGAATACAAATCAATCATAGGAACGATGTAAGATTTGAGCAAAATTTGATTTACGGAAGTGCTCGAAATAACAAGTTCCCTTGCCGGCATGAAAGCAAGTTTAAAACACAAAAGTTACAAAAGAAGAACTTCGAACAGTGTTACGGCAGTGTTACGGTTACCATCCATATATTTGCGAAACTTTGGATTCGTCTTTGTTGTTTTGTTGTCTTTTTCGTAATCTTTTGCTAGTTCTTCATAGGAAGGAATATAGTTTTTGGTGTGGTTTTGGAGAGTGTTTGTTTTTTCGCATTACTTTTTATATATTTTTCATAATCTATGAATTGAACTTTGATTAATTAGATTTTATGTGTACCCGTATGCTTTGGTATTGTGCTTTTAATTATTGTTGTTAAAGGTATGACTTATTTAATTATACTTTGCATGCAGTATTCTTATTTTATATATCGAATGTATGTAACTGTGCTTACATGTTTATAACACAAATATGATGTTTATAAAACGGTATGGTTGATTGAAACTACGCGAACTTCTTTAACGCTGCCAAACCAATATCGTTCGTTCGACACGGTATAGCCATGTTACCAGAAAGACGGGCAAAAGATGGAATATATGTTGATTAATATAGATTGTAACAATTGTCCTCAACAAACGTCTTTTTCTATTGAAAAAATGATCAAAATACATGCAAGCACCTAATAGTTCCATCCAAATAACAATACAAGTTACCAAATTCGAACTTCAAATACGTTCAAACTAATGAATTTTGAATTATGTGAGAATATGGAATTTTGAATTATGTGAGTCATCATACGTACAGTTTGCAGCGTTTGTTCTCCGACAACAACGTTGAGTAAAACATTTCAATAGCACTAATCTATAGGTCTCTTGCATCATTGTACAAATTGCGGATCCCTTGGAATGATCTCTACCGCTCTTCGTCTCCCATACGGATTTAGAATCAGTCGGAGTTTTCGCGTTCCATGGAAAAGTAAGTGCTCGATACGTTTCTTACCCCATCGGCAAAAAGTTTGCACCGAGTTTACATTTAAATATATTCTACAAAAAGCTAACTTTCAAGAATTATGATCAAAATATATTCTATAAACAGCTAAATTGCAAGAATTATGATCAAAATACATTCGAATCTAATGATAGCCGTACGGGGTCAAGAGGAGTCACCCGTAGTAGAAGAACCCGCGAATCCTCCGCTTCTCAAACAGCAACGCCAAGTGAGGCTATTTCCACAAATCTTTTGCCAACAATCTCTGGGCAATATATTGAAGATTTCACATGTAACTAGTAAATTTCACAACTTTTAGAAAAACAATAGCATCCATTCCTCAGCTTTTAGAACTTTTTATTATTTTGCACGGGAGTATATTGAAGATCAAATTTTTTAAATGCTTTTATCTTAATGCTGCGTAAGAAATTTGGTTACAGTGGAGGCATATTGATAGTAATGCAATGAATTGATCGCAACGTTGAAAACAGACTGACTTATACAAATGGACTTGGGACTCTCTTACTGCTTATAAGTCTCTTTCTAGCTATCGTTAGTTGATTTTCCTCTAATAGGAAAACCATTGCTGTGTTACAGACAACCAAAGATAAAAGCAGATAGACCCCCTACACGCCACATATGCGGAAGTCACATATTCAGGAAGAGCTGTGTATGCTTCCGGTTTATATCGTAGCTATTTTAAACTCACAACTCTCAGCACTCCCCAGCAATGATCTACATTAAGCACGCCGTTTCTTTTGATATTAGGCGAGCAGCTCGCCTAATACCGCCTGAGTTCCACCACAGCAGTTCAGATAACAGATTGCCTTCAGTATAGAAATGCCAAAATTTATGCACGATTTTCGATACAAGCGGATAAAGGATTAAATTTACGTACTACAAACTTAAAGTATAAAGGTTACACAAAGCCATAACCTAGCAAGAGGCAAATCGCACATTATATTATAAGCTTGACAATCTTTACATTTTAAACGGGCTATACGGTCTACATGAATTCAATAAAATCTATTTAAAAGCAATTTCTACTGCTTGCCTTTAGGAATTTGTTTTGGAACCCGCTTCTCTTTGCTACCGTAAGGAAATAAATTGCTGCTGTTAGCCTTGCCGTCACTTAAGAAACGGAGATTTTCTCTTGGAGTTTCCTTCTTAGACTGCTGAAGTTAGCACTCGAATTATTTAATTAGAAAACAAAAAATCAACTATTTTACCGCGTTGAGAACATCGAACACCCGTGTTTCCTGCGTTCAAAAATACATTTTTCTGATGAGTCATAGTAAGTTAGCAGTGAGAACTTATTTAAAAGAGGAATATATAAATAAAATAGAGGCCATGAATTTTCTGATTTTAAATTGATAAAAGCTGATTACCTAAAAGATCGACCAGTTTTTGCATGTAATTTTGATAATAAAATCTTTTCATCATATTGTTACGGAAATCCCAAACCCAGTCCATTCCAACTAATTGGTTTGGCAGATTAACGGACAAAAATGAAGCCATGAACTTACGTAATGCTTGTAAAAATGTATATAAATAGAATATTTACGGATGGCAGAGTCAATCAGTCAAGAACATTTGAGTCGAAAAAGAATATTTATGTTGAGATATCAAGAGTATTGCCAAAAATAAATAGTGAATAATCCTACCTAAGGGCCTACTATTCATGAAATATCTTATATGGAATGGGACCAAGAAATAGGTCCATGTGGTTCAAATTAGGTCCGACTAATTTTTTTAATTAATTGCTATAATGAACAAATTTTCATCATAAAAAAATTAACAATTAGCCCTTTTTGGCATATAAGGAATCCTTATGTGCGGTTGTATCCAAAAAATTGGTCTGCGTGATACAAATTCAGTGTGATTAATTTCTGTGCCATTTTACAGTTATGAAATAATTTTCACCATGAAAGAATGAAAATTAAACTTCTTACTTTATAAAGGTTTGGATTCCGTGACTAAATGATGAGGCGTTAAAAAAATTATCCCTCCGTGCCCATGCTTCGATCATTCTCCAATATGCGGAGATTCATAGACATGCTTTTGCGTGGAAATAACATGTGATACTTGGTGTGTTATTACCAAAATGAGTGAATAACTGTATTAAGCAAAGAGGTATGGAGTATATAATTGTCACCCTTTCCCGGCTATAATATTCTTATTCGTGTGATTAAATTTGCTCTGTAATGTTTTGCTTATTTTGTGTTCGCCTTAGTCCCGATAATTATTGACCGCCGCGTTTACATTTCATGTTTTAACGCTATAAATGGAAAGTTTAATCAAGTAGAAAATTTACTTTTTATTCAATTACTTCGTACACAGAAGTGTCTTATCATATTGCTTGCCATCCGTTGCAGCATAGCGCATGCTTTATTATGGTACAACTTACATTCACTTGTGGTTATCTCAACTTAGCGCCATTTCAATCCTATAGAGACCATTCTAGTTACACTCGTCACAAACAGCAGCAACGGTGTGATGGATTCTTTGGAGAAAGAATTTCAATTATTTTTTTTGTCGTTAAAAAAACAAAACCCATTAGCGGAGTGTAAAAGTGTCATCTGTAACCAATTACAAGAATTTGAACATCGGCCACCTTTACAGAAAAGGTGCCTCCATCGTATTCCTATCTTAATGGTAGCTGCTTTATTTCTTTGGTATAATGATTTGCATTGGTTCTTAAGTGCAATTGGACGCCTTTTTCTTATTCAATTGACACCCTATTGGAATTGGTCGCCACTATATAATGCAAAATGTTTGCTTCAAACTGGGGATAACCCTACGACAATGACAGTTCCTGTGGCTTTAAGCTTTTCTGAGGTGGACGACGAAAACTGTGTTCTATGTGAATTTATTGGTAAGCTCTTGTTATTTGTGTCTTTAGTATGTACAATGTATAGGAATAAATAGGGAGGAAGCATCTTATGGTCATAGTTAAAATTCGTTTAATTTGGCCGGATGTCTGGCTGTTAAAGTTCTTTACGCAATATTTGCTCTGTCCACTTGTTCCACGCTCTAGCAGGGATTGTTTGTGTCTGTGCCAGGGTTTGTCTGCGCCCAATTTACATTTTATGCGACAGACATTGCGCTTATACTTGCACATTGTATCAAAATTACAATGACACCGTGAAGTTTGATTAAGCATACTCCCTTCTAAATATTTGAAAACGATTAAATGTTGAGAGACAAACAGTTCGGTCTAAGCCGATTATGACTTATTTCTTCGTATAAATTTTGCACACGCAAATGTGTAAAATCTTTTGCATCGTTTCAGATTTTATTCCCACGGTATCGAACGTTACATTCTTCTTTATACAGCAACATTACTTGGAATCAGCTGTACCGGTTATTATAACGGATTCTCATCAGCTTGTACGGGTTCAACACTTATTTGACGTAATATTTTTGAAATCGAGTAATTTTTTGAAAAATCAACCTTGCGATGTGTCGACAAACCTCCTTACAAAGAAGTTCTTTAATGTGGAAGCGGCATTGATTAAAGCCGCCAAATTGTTAAAATTCGATAAGAAGTGGTTTTTGCAAATCAGAAACTGTGAACTTGAGGCAGTGAAATTAGCCAGAGCCTTTATACTACGTCCTTACTATTATCCCAAACATTTATCTCCTGCTTACACTACATGGTTGTTGATGTCTCATAACTACCGAAGCAAAGAAATGCGAATTTTACGCAATAAGGGTTTAATTATTATGCAACAATTACTGGGTGACTTAGTGGTGAAATTGAGAACCAAAGAACCATGTATTGCTAACTGTCCGAACATGCATTTGTTACTAAAACAAGGCGAGAGCTTAATATTTACTACAGACTTGTGGATACTAAGCTACGGTTTTACTACGGAGTTTTCTTCGAATGCAACGAGTGTTACCACTATCATGGAAATTGAATGGGACATTTGAGATGAAAATATTTAAAATATTAAAAAAAAATATATTTTTGAAGATCTTACATTTAGTTTTACCTAATTTTTTTAATCAATTAGTTAAACTATGAATGCCATCAATTTTAATTCATTGGATTGTATGAAAGACATTTTATTCCATTGCATTAAATTGTTTTTCCAAGTTCATCTTATGATGTTCTCGAAGTTTACGTTCAAAATAATGCTGCCACCAATCATCCGCCGCTGCTTTACCTATCACCAGAGGCCACTAAGTGACAAGATGTTCCGACGTATATTCCGAAATTTAAACTAGGAGATTATTACGGACCTTTTGTGTTTTTGGGGCTTATTAGTAGCGTTTGAGTACCTGCGCTTTCATTTTCATTACATGTATGGGCAAAAATTCTGTTAAGAGTTTATTGATACGGCGCCGCATTCTATGGTTTTCAGTGAATATGCATTATGGTATAAATGTATATACGGAAAAAAAAACCAAGCAGTATTTATATAAGCATGTTTTATTATTATTGTAATTAATTTAGGCAGAGAAATAAATTCTAAGGTTAAAGGCTTACAGCAGTGCCATCTAAGCAACCATTGAGGTATATGTATAGAATAAATATTATCATGTCATTTCCTTTTCGTTGTGTATTTCACTTTGAAAAATTCTTAATTTTATAATCGCCAAATGCTTCAATAAATTTCAGTGAAATGTTCCATATCAATGAATATGGAGAATTTTTTTTTATATTAACAAAATTATATTGTATTTTTATCTGTTCCTATATTTTCATTATTGAAGCAATTCGCGAGCATAAAATTTAGAATTCTCCAATACCAAATGAACGACGAAAGCAAAACGAATCATATTTTTCAGCTATCTACTGATTGGATTTTTCGCGCATTCGCACGTAAATGTATACGTTACGCATTCACCACAGTATTTGATATACTTCTTTGCAGGCTTTGAGAGAATGTGACGTCATTCCAAAAAACCCATTAAAAGAATTTTAACCATTTATATATCTACGTTACCATAACGAAAACAAAAAACTCCGTAATAGTCTCCTCGCTGGAATTTTGAAATAAATGTTAGACCATCCCACCATTTACTTGTGTCTGCTATTACGTTGTTTGCCCAGGAGATAATAAATAATAAAGAATATAATAATAAAAAGAAGAATCTCGGATGCCCATCGCCACTAAAATCTTTAACGCCTCTTGCTTTTGCTTATTGTCATAAAAAAGTGGGCGCAATAAAATATTTATGTTTCACCTCTTACTTCATCGAAAAGCATTACTAAGAAAAATTAATCTACCTCCATCATGGCGAACACAATAATTAATTTAGAATTTAACACACTTAGCTTTACGCATTCTACTCTTTACGCTCTTCTACTTAATACCCATATCGCTGGTATTATTAAGAAAAATTTAACCTACTAGGTCGTGATGTCCATTATATTTATCTTAGAATTAACGCTTTTTTAGGGAGATAATATATCTTCATTTTAGGAACGTACGTAGTAGTTTTAAGCATTGTATCGGGTTTACTTTATGATTAATATGCGTAAACCTCAAAAAAGTGAAAAACATGTAAGAACATTATAATCGGGCAAGGGGGACCTTTTAAGGGGCACATATTAATATAATGTGTATCTTGTTTCTACATGAAGGCATATTTTTCATGTGGATCAATCTCCGTGAAAATCGTGTTTAGGATAGGATCCCAAAAATTGTCCGAAATGATCCAAACTTGGTACAGTTAATTATATCCTACTTGGTATTCGACATATTAACTTAGTGCGGTCGTATCACAATTACTACTTTTGTCTTATGAACTTCAATTTTCGCTTTATGAAAGGTTCTTTAAAATTTGCCACATCCGGTTCAACGTACCAATTTAGATTGCAGAAATACTGCTACTTAACCACTTTATCCAAGAAATTTTGAAAATTACAATTTTTTTCCATACAACGACTTTTCATAATAGTGTCTTACGAGGAGTGGTCGAAAAAGTGGACCGCCCTTGGATAAAAACACGTCACTCTACCAAATTTATAAGTAAATAAAAAAATTAAGTGTGGAGTTGAAAGAAGCGAAATTGTCTAAAGAATAACAGTATCGAGCATTAACGAAGGGAACAATTAACAAAATTATGATCTGAAAATCCTATTTTAGCGTACCAAGGTTGCTTATTTTCAAAACAAAAAAGCCGTTCGTGATTTTCTGCAGTGTCTTATATTAGAAGTGATTTAAAATAATTCTTATGTTCAACTATTTAGACTGTGTCGTATAAATCTAAATCTGAAGCAAAAATATTAGTGATAGATAGAGAATAGTGAATCATGAAAATGGTGGCTCTTATTCTCCACCAGAAACTATTAATAGATGGATTATGGAAGAAGGTGACATCTTATTTATGCTTAACTCTCTCGTTTGCGTAGTCCCACTTCCAAATCTTGCTGTTGTTGAGGCTGCACTTTGTTGACCATTCAAATTTATCGAATTGAGCGCTATTCGATTTTTTTTTCTTCCCTTTCAATTTTTTCTCCGTCAGTTTGTACATTATTTTCATATATTTGTCATCTTCACCCTTGCGTGTTGAAGCGCTAATTATCTTTGTTGTTGTTTCTGAAATATTTTTTATAGTAAATCCACATAATCGTTTTTAACCATGTGAATATTCTTCAGTTTCACGAAAATACATCGTTGTTTTGCTTGTTAAAAACGACGTATGTAAAAATTTTGAAAATTTGGCGCAGAGTCAACAGTCAGTAGAAACTAGAACACTAAAAAGAATATTCTCTTTCCATATATATTCATACAAGTGCTTTGCTTGAAATATAATATATAATCTTTTTTATATAAATGTATCAAAAATATAAATTCATCTCCCCTTGTACGTCTCTTGAATAGTTTTATACAATTTTTATAGGCGTGGCATTCAATTTTACCCTATTTTCAAAAATCCTGCACCACTTGGCAGGATGCAGATATCGCTTGTAGTGGAGCGTTCGCTAGTTTAAGCATAACAGGCCGTGTTTGTTTATTGAGCGGCTGAGTCTACATATTTTCTTCGTACACACGAATGATCAAATGTCTTATTGATATTTGAATAATCGCTTACCAAAACTTAAATAAGAAAAATCGCAAACGAAGAAATCTTATCGCAAGCGAGTGAATTTTAATGAAAAATCTTAGATTATTGAAGCATGTACGATTCATTAAATTCTACAATTTATTTAGTATCTAATAGATTCCATTCTGTTAAAATGCAAAGCCGTCGGCAAAACAAAGGAAAACTTTGGGATATTTAGCAACTAATGTTTATTTATTTTTTATTGATAAATGTATGCTTTCATACAAAATTTCTTAATTTGTTTAATTTTACAAATTCTACAATTTATTTAGTATCTAATGTTTCTTTATTCTTTTTATATATATGTATGTTTTCATATGAAATTTCTTAATTTCTTTCATTTTACAATATTATTTATTAATAGATGTATGTTTTCATATAAAATTTCTTAATTTCTTTTATTTTATAAGTTAGCTTAGAATTAATCCGTGATAATTTTTAAACAAAGTCCTCTCTAAATTCCCTGTTAAAAGGCAACTTAACTGAAAACAAAGGTTCTTTTAAAATTCAAAGCCGTCGGCAAAACAAAGATTCAGCTCAATTTTACAAATTCTACAATTTATTTAGTATCTAATGGTTCTTTATTCTTTTTATATATATGTATGTTTTCATATGAACTTTCTTTCATTTTACAATATTATTTATTAATAAATTTATGTTTTCATATAAAATTTCTTAATTTCTTTTATTTTACAAGTTAGCTTAGAATTAAACCGTGATAATTTTTAAACAAAGTCCTCTCTAAATTCCCTGTTAAAAGGCAAGTTAACAGAAAACAAAGGTTCTTTTAAAATGCAAAGCCGTCGAAAAAACAAAGATTCAGTTCTGTTAAATAGCAGTATTAGTAACTAATGTTTCTTAAATGCGGAAGAAGACAAAAACGCACTGCCTGATGGTTTGGTGAGGCACTGGGCTCGACTTAAAGCCAATTAAAGTCCAAAATAGCACAGTAATAGGAACCAACTGATAATGCAAATTTTTCACGCTAACAAAATCGATTACTTTAACAGAATCGAATACAAATTTATCGAAATTAACATTCGAAGAGTTGCAATTTATTGAAAGCATCCATGTGCTCTCTATTCTCACAACATAGTATAGTAAAAAAGAAGAAGTAAGTGAGCGAACTTCGAATTTTGTTACTTTAGAGGAGAAGTAAATGAGTGAACTTCGAAGTTTGTTACTTTAGAGGAGAAGTAAATGGGCGAACTTCGAATTGTGTTTTCATTTCGAATTTCAAGGGAACACATTATTTTTATACATTATACAGCTGCTTCTCCTTTCTGAATGCATTCTTATAAATGAAACAAAAATGAAGTTTCCACATGGATTAATTCGTTGAGTGATGCATACAAAAAAATAAACGCTTATGGAATTGGACATGTTGAAAATAACGATTCGTCATTGAAATCCTTTTCTTTTAGTAGTAATTATGGATTATTATCCACCTCATCTATTGGCATTTCGAAAGGATCATCGTCATTAGACGATACGCAGCAGTCGCATTAGCAATTTGCCTCTTAAAAATAAGACTTCGTTCCATAGACGGATCAATGTCCATAAAGAAATCGCCAAGCTCATTTGCCATCCTTAAACCTTCACTAAGACTTTTCAAATTAAATGTCACGTTTCCAGCGCGTGTTGAAGCCTCTTCTTCAATGGGCGGCGAATTTAACGTTTCCTCAAAGTCGGTTTCAGTCAAATCTTCATCTTGTGATTCAAGCAATTCCTGAATGTCACTTGATTCTATCTGTTCGAATCCATCTCGTCCTATTCCATGCGCGATTTCGGCTATGTTTGCAGTCAAATTTTTTACTTGCCCAGATTCTTTGTCAGGCCACAGTTTTTTCCTGCATGACTTCAATGTGTGTGGCTTCAGTTCTTCCAATGATTCTTTTATGTTAACGATGCATTTTGCTATATCAAATTTCTTCCTGCATTCCATAACATTCATATCATGATTACATTCCATATTATCCAATATGATTTTGAAGCTTCGTTTAATGTTATAGAGCTTAAACGCCTGGATTACTCCTTGGCCCACAGGTTGAAGCAAACCCGTCGTGTTGGGAAGTACAAATTTCACTTTTATGTTTGGATGCATAGTTTTAAGTTCGCGAGGATGACCAGGTGCATTGTCCAAAACTAGAAGTGCTTTAAAGTTTAAATTCTGTTTTTTTAAATACGTTTCAGCTTCAGAAACAAAACAATTCCGCAAACCAGTTTTTTTATAGCCGCGAATATGAAATTTGCGTCGCAGTTTTTTAATCCACGAATAGTGAAACCGCGAATAAAGGAAGCGCGAATAAGGAGCTTTTATTGTACTTCTTTTTATAAACCATGTAACGTAAGTAATTTTATCTGATCGCGCACGAAAGTAGTACAACTATATGAACGTTGTTCATACAAAAGAAAATAATCTCAACTAAGTAAAAGTATTCTGAATCGGCTTGGCAAAAAAAAATTCTAGTTCTATTAGATAATCTTAGTTCTATTAGATTATCTAGTCTATTAGATAATCTCTTTGTCTTTGCTCTCTTCCTTTCTAGAAGATTCAATTTTTCCGTCGAACAAGAGAGCTTCGTGTCTCAAGTCGTACTAAAATGCTTGATATTATTCATCTAAATAATAGTTTGGGGAAAAAGAAATCCATTATTTTTTCGGTAGATGGCTGCACTGATAGATTTCTCGTGAAGTATCGATCAAACAATTTCAGATTTATGCTCGTTGGAAAGGTGACATTTCGCAGTAAAAAAAATTCTTTTGCTGTTTTTTGTTTGGTGCATTCAGTTGTGAGTTACAGCGTGTTAAAAATGGAAGTGAACAAAGAGAAAATTCGGTACATTTTACAGTTTTTCTTTGACAAAGGCGAAAATGCAAGCCAGGCGGCTAAAATTGTGAATGGTGTTTATGGTTCCGATAATCTAACAGCCAATTATGTGCAATTTTGGTTTCGTAGATTCCGTTCAGGAATTTTTGATGTTAAAGATGCACCTCGCACAGGTAGGCCGGTCGTCGAAAATGTCGATAAAATCGGAGAAATGATCGAAGCTGACCGGCATGTTAGCAGTCGTAACATCGCCCAGGAGCTAAAAATCGACCATAAAACAGTTTTAAACCACTTACACAAAGCTGGATTCAAAAAGAAGCTCGATGTTCGGGTGCCACACCAATTAACAGAAAAAAAACATGATGGATCGAATTTCCATCTGCGAAGCCTTGGCCAAACGGAATGAGATAGACCCATTTTTTAAACGGATGGTGACTGGAGATGAGAAATGGATCACATACGATAACATATTTTGTAACATCTATTGGACTTAATTTCCTTCCTGACATCAAGACAATTTTTTGAGAAGACAGCTTTGCGGCAAACCACGATGTAAAGTAGTCCTTTAACGTAGATGCTGCTTTGATTAAAGCTGAAAAATTGTTAAAATTCGAAGAAAAATAGCTCTTATAAATTAGGAAACGTCAGCTAGGAGCAAAGGGTGACGGAGCCCTTATGGTATGACCTTGCTTTTGTCCTTGCTTACACTGCGTTGCTCCTGCTGTCAACAACTGTAGAAGCAAATAGTTAGAAATTTTGCGTATTCAATGTGTCAAATATCCTAACTTTCATTTCTTATTAAAACAAGTTGAAGTTTTGTATTTACCAAAGACTTGTAGTTGCTAAGTCACGCTTTTATTACAGAGGATACTTCGAACGCAACCAGCATTACAACTACCATGGAAATTTAATGGGACGTTTGAGTTGAAAATATTTATATTAAAAAAAATTTTTTTTTAAGTCTTTTTATATTTAGTTTCTACTAATTTTTGTAATGTGCTAGTTAAACTGTTAATGGCATCAATTTTAATTCGTTCGATTTTCTCCTGTTGTATTAAAGACATTTTATTGAATTGCATTAAATCACGATGCATTTGTTTTTGCAAGTCAATCTTATCACGTTCTACTTGAATTTTGCGTTCAAAATAGTCCTGCCACCAATTATCAGGCGCTGGTTTAATTAGTTCTTTTATTTCATAAGAAGGGGCTGTCAAGGGCGGCCTTGCTCGGGTCTCGTAGGTTTCTGTAAATTGTGGCTCTAAACTATTATATTTGCTTGAATTTTGTTGATCGTATCCTCCACTACTGCTTGATACTGATATTTGTATCGGGTCTTCATCATCGAATTTCTCCTGTTTCAACTCTAATTTGGGTTTTTTTATTTCTCTGGTATCACCGCTATCGTCTTCATCAAAGTCTTCATTCGATTTTGAATCGATTTCCACATGAGCCTGAATCATCGGCTCATGAACTATTTTCATATACTGATTGTCAGCAATCTCCTCCACTTTTCCTTCTTGCATTGAATTGCTTTTGCGTTGTTGTATTTCAAAGTCTGCTTTTTTACCTTGTAAATATTTGAACATATCCTCAAAAAATTCCCAATGTACGTAGCCGGTAGCATACTTTTTGCTTAAATTTTTATTATACGTTATAAGAATATTGTGCCATTTTTTTTGTACCTTCGCTGCATTGTAACGAAAGCCCATTTTTTGTAATTGCCTCGTACATTGTAACCACAGAGCTGTACGCTTATGTCGTCCCTCGCAGAAACGATTTTCCATGGGCCCACGTACGTGTATAAGAGCGCGAGTAGCTTCAGTAGTCCAAGCTCGTTCATAAGGGCCGCGGTGTTGGCTAATGCTATTGCTATTGCTAGGATGTGGCTCGAAAACTTCTTCCAAAAGCGTGTCGTCGTCGTCATCATCGCAATCATCCAAATCAACATCACTTATCTGATAGATATCTAAAATTAATTAAACAAATTAAAGTTTAAACCAAAATTTAAAATTGTAAAATAAAACGATTGTTTGGGCATTCCTTGTCTACTGAGAGCACACAACAAATGGAAAATCTGTTTATAAGAAAAAGAGAAAGAAAAAATCTTTACATAAACTATATTACCCTAAGCATTTTTTTTTTTTAGCATCGTATGAACTAAGGCACCCATCTACACATACATATACTATCAATATGTTTCGTTCACAAACTCTGCATAAGGATAAAAATCAATTAACTAAATGCATTAATGAAAATCATACATACAAATTCGAATGCTTGCAATAATAAAAAAAATAATTGTTAAGCGCACAATAAGTACACAACATGTTTCAGCCAACTTACTATCATTTTCCAAACTAGCTGCAGCTAAATGTCCCGACATTTTTATATATATATTTAAATTTCTGCAAATCAAAACTATACTAGCAAAAAATTTAGAACTTTTAGGTTACACTAGCGAAGGCTTACTAACAAACGAGATGTCTACCTAGTTTTGTGGTATCTAGCGAGACATACACAAACTTACAAAGTACATTAATTGTGCTCTTTTTAGATCTGCTTATGTTATTTGAAATTTATAATAGTATGAGGTAGTAGGATGCTTGCATACAATTTAGTGTTCTAGTTTCTAGTGCATTTTGGGTCTGCGCCGTCAGCAGCATCACTCACTAATTCTTTCAGCATCCATCTGAGAGGATAATTGTGGCACACGTGAAACAGTAATGCCAGATGATTGTTGACACCGTATAAAAAGAATCAAGTTTTATCTTAAACTTTAAAAAGTGAGTCAAAATTTGTTACCATGACGGAGACATTTATAATTCAATCACATTTTTTTTTCCTTTCTTATCATTATTATGTATTTGAATTTCAATTCTTAATTAGTTTTATTTTCATATGTGGCAACGTCTTTCTTTCCTAAATTTTCACAGGCTTAGTTTTAATAATATGGCAAAAACTTAAGTATATTTACAATTACCATTCCATTTCTTTGCTTCATAAGCCAGATATCTTTATGCAAAAACACTGTTAGGCTGCTGTTGTACCCGCTTTTTATTAAAAAATTTATTTTTTATAATCATTGTGTACAAAAGATCCAAATATTATGGCTAAAAACAATAGTGCTGTGATGTAAGTTTTGTCGTTATCCAATTTCTTTGTAATAAATCTAAAGTACATGTTGCAGCACGGATTGGAAACGGTTATGGAAACTAGTGTCAGGTATCCATCACGAGACACCTGAGAGCACAGTCTTAAAAGAACTTCTTAATGTTTCTTGCGAACTTCAAGATGGTCTATTACAGTTTAAAGGTACTGCCGCTTCAAAGACAAAATTGGAAGCACTTTTAGCCGAAAAAAAGCAGGAAAAGTTGTTAGCGTTTACACTGAGATTGCAGGAGTTGCTGGTATGTTGATTTTTTCCGTTAAATACGTCGTAAACAACTTTATTTTCTAGGATCTTGAATCTGTTCAATGCTGGGAAATTCTTTGTTACTATCTAACTAGTGAATACAGGGGCACTGCTAGTTCTCTAGCCTCTTTAATATCCACTGAAAATAATATGACTAAATTACTTGATGACATTTGGGGTTACTATACGTTAGAACGTATGATTGTTCTGAAAATTGTAAAAAATCTTTTGATTTTCTACGATGTACCGAGCCATCCATATTACAAAGAATATAAAGAAGTTGTCGATAAAATTGGCATAGAAGGACTTAAAGAATCGTATTTACAACAATTAGATCATCTTATTAACGAAGTGCCACCGCATAAGATAAAAGCAGGTGAATTTTTCAATTATCAACAAAAATTAATAAACTGGTCAGAACGCAACGCTCGTGAGATTGTTGAGATATCGCATATATTGCTTCTTATTTGTGAGCATATGCCTATGAACTTTGCTGATGTCAAACGTTTGTTTAGCTGTTTTAAGCAACATTCTTTTGGGCGCCAACAAAACTATTTAAGCGCTGGTAATAGTTTACACACTGAGCTGTTGTCCCGTTTAGCTTATTCTGAGTTGTCCCTGTTTTTGAAATGCATTGATCTTGAGGAGCTGGAGCAGTCGAGGAAATTGGCTACCGATATTGTTAAAAGTTTTGACAAAGATGTAACACGTATGTGTCATAATCCTGAAAACGGTCCTTTGTTATTGGCTTGGATGTTGGTGAACATACGGTATACCAACGCTTCGGAAAATGATCAGCAGTTGCTACGTTGCCGTCAAATGGGCATACGAGCATTAGATTTAAATTGCTTTTCGTATATGAATGATATGATTTCAAACTCGATATTTAAGGTATAGAAACATCGAATCAGTTTTGGCTGCTTCTCTAATATTCTTTTGCATTAGGACGATTCATTGGTCTCCCGTATAGTACGCAAGACGGTTTACAATATGTTGTGCTGTATGTGCGATTATTTTGATGGCGACGGTTCTTGTTGTAAATATCCTTATGTATATGACTTATTAAGTGAACTATTGACATGGCCCAGTTTGGCTAAAGATTTTTGTAGTACAAAGGGTAATTAAAAAATAATTTCAAAGCTTTCAGACAAATATATCTATATATATATATAATTAAAATGTTATTTCGTTGAACTTTTAACTTTCTTTCAGAAAGTGGGGTTCATTCTTTATTTGCCACTCTGTTGGAAATATTTCCCATTGATTTTGTACATTTGTCTATGCTTGCTACTGCTTTGACAAAAGCTGGCATGGGTAACTACGTATGTATAAATACAACTCAAATTTACCAAATCGTCTATTATGTGTTCTGCAATCCTTTTACACTATTATAGGTCAAAAGCCAACTAGAAGCTTTGCCCATATTAACCGAGTTATACGATGAGTCTAAGTATTTTTTGAAAAGTAATCGTGAAAATGAATACGTCTTAATGCAAAAGGTGCAACCATTTCCTCACATTGATTTTGAAATTCCAGTAGGAACATCGGTGGCAATCTGGATGCGTGCTGATGATTGTTACGCTCACTTCCGTTTGCCAGTTAACTTTTTCAATGTATTGCACCATGAAATCAATTGCTTATTAATTGAAACCGTATACCATGGCGAATATGATAGTAGTGTGCGAGCACGTCGAGTTAATGAAGGTCTGAAATATCTATATGTCACATTAGGAAAGATGAAAAGTTTGGCAGGTATTACTACGGAAATGGTGCATCCAACTGAAATGTGCATTGATCTATTAAACAAATTCAAAGAAGTGCAATCACCGCCAGTAGAGTTAATGGCCAATTGCTTAAACGTCTGCACTGCACTATTGCCTTTAGCTGATGCTGAAATTATCGCAAGAGTCATAAACTTGGCCATATTGCCACAGATTAATTGTGATACATTGAAAGATTATAAGATGTATGCGCATGGTGTAAGCTTCGATTCTGGTTTGGTTGGCTCTTATTTGGTGAATGTGGAGAAGAAACGAGAACGTTTCAACTTTTTGGTCGCTTATTTGGGTTTCTTGCGCTCTTATACGAAACTACAGATAAAGCGTTATTTTGACATTGAAATTCCTGGCTTAATATTTTTGTTAAGAGATGTTTTCCCACATATGCATGCTTGGCGTTTTGAATCGAAACAAGAGAAATTTAGGATGTATGCTGAAATTATGGGTTTTGTATGTGACGTCCTTGATGAAGTTGCATCAGGTGACATGAACAAACAATCCTCCGAGCAAGTATTGCTAAAAAATATATGTGTATATAGCATGTTAAATTTAGAGAACGCTTTGATTTTATTGCGTTTCGTGGCCATGGGTAATGCTTACTTACAGCATTCTATGGAAATGGAGGCTAATTGGATGCTACAACAATCTCACGGCTTAGTTTTGCTTGTCCGTTTGGCTATACGTATTTTGATGCAAGTGTTACGTTTAAGAAGTAGTGTTTGCGAAAGTAATGGTTTAACTCCATTAGAAGTAATGGTCTACACTCAACCTAAGCAAAGGGACACGTTGAGAATTATACCCGTTGTAACAAGTTACATGAACAATATATTCGATCGACGGTTGCCCATATTGTCTTGTCGTTTGCTGAAACGTATTGCTTTAGAATTCGACATGTCTTTACTGGCCTGTTTAGATATGGAACCCGATCAAATACGCTTGACATTTTTGCAAAAGCTACCCGATGAGCTGGAAAGTGATTCTCTAAAGGCCGCTATTCTAGAATTAGTGGAAGCTTGCGTAGAAAAGCAACCTGGGGTTACAGAAGCTTTCTTCAAAGTGAATTATCAGCAAGAGAAACGTATTTTTGGTAAAGCAGGTGACACGGAAATAGCTGATAGCATTGTCACTTATATCCAAGACTACCTAGACGCAGTAGGTAAGGATCCAGAAATTGTGGAACAGCTATTGCCTAGTAAAATTATGAACTTATTTCATACTTTGTGGAAGCAGAATAAGCAATTGCTAATAGATGTTTTAATTAATAAATCAAACTTCTGGGAGAATTTATGTCGACCTTTGTTCAGCGATTTGAAAGAAAACATACGCGTCTACACACAGCTTTTGAATATTCTGTCCATTGAAATATTTAGCACGCCTCTTCGTGCGAATGGATCGTTTAAGAACATTCTCGTAAAATTTTTTGAAGTTAACCAATTTAAAAAGTGGTTGGATTTTGTTTTCATCATGCCAAAAGAGCCATTCAATGGTCCTTTGAATGAGGATCCACCCGAATGGTTGTGTCGCTTGCGAGCTTTCAAAAGTTTTTTGTTGATTCTGCTGAAAAAACAACCGCAATTTGTTGAAGTGCCTACTAAGCAATTTAAAATACTGACTGAAAAATGTTTGCCAATTTTGGTGGAACGTTCCGAATACGTGGAAGATTTAAAACCTTTAGCACTGCTCTTCGAATTGTATCTGTTTAGTATAATGAATTTAAAGCACACGCGTACGGAGAGTTCTGAAGAGGATCAAAAGATACTTCAGCAGGTTAACCAATTGTTAAGCAATATCTGTTCTTGTTATATGGACCTAAGTAATAGAGCTAAAGATGCCTGTCTCTCCTTGACTATTAAATGTGCTGACCTTTTCGCTGAGATATTGACGCAGGATTCACCGGCATCTCTAAATTTTTTGCAATCTGTGGTTAATATTATATGCCAAGAGCTTCGCAATCTAGAAAATTGTATAGGTGATGAAGGCTGTTGTAAAGAAGCGGCGAGAAAAGATATGGCTAACGGTTTCTCAACAATATCTTCCATTTTGTGTTTGAATTTATTGAAAACAGTGGCAACTATTTTCCACAATGACGGTGTTAGTAATTGGGTTTTACCTTTTCTATCAAACAAGTTATTTCAGCGTTTACTTGCTTGCACATCATATATCTTACAAGAACATAAGAACCAAAAACTTACTGTGGAATTGTTAGATGTTCTTCTGATGTTTGCCAAAGGTAATTGTTCTGCGGAGTTTTTGCACTGTGACGTTGGCGAATATTTATGGCTAAAATTACTGCCGCCCAAAGAATTGATACAAACAACGTTTATGTGTTCATTAACCCCAGATCAAGTTGAAGTGTGGTCCGTAAACAAATGGTGGCCTATCTACGCCAGAGGCATTGAGTTGGTTACATTATTATTGCAGAAGCATTCTCATTATATTCTTAAAGAGGTTTTGCAATTTGTTGGAATACACGAAGAGTACCTAGTGGATTCATTATTATTAGGTAAACAGTCTCTGGAACCGATAGCCATGGATTTGATTAAATGTGCCATTACATTAGTGGCTACTTTAGTCAAATTTGAAAAGCAATGGCGTCTGGAACATTCACAATCATTGTTTAGTTTAATGGTAAGTAAAAAAAGGCGTATTTATTGCATTTTGTTAGATTTAAAATTGCTAGATTCGAGAATCGAACAATTATTTACAGTATATTTAGGTTTATATTTTTTCTAGACTTACACTAAAAGTTTGTATAGGTAGAATGAATAGGGAAGTAGAAGTCTAAATTGATGCGCAATCAAGCAACCTAAGGAACATAAATGATTTGTTCGTTTTCTGATTTGCATTTGTCCAAATACAGTTAGTTAGAGAGTTAGTGTACGTCCGTTTTTTGATGGTGAATATAAAAATGGTCCATGATAAGACGCATTTTCAGTTATAGTATTTCAATACTTGCTTTTGATGTTAAATACTACGCAGCTTTAAGAAATTGTTCATGTACTCAAAAATTGTGCGGGCTCACTGTATTGATTCAATCACTTTTTAGAATTAATATTTTGTTAGAAAGATAGGAAAGATATGTTGCCAATATCGGCGAAAATATTAAATAGAATTTCTTTATACCATTGCCCTTTTTAAAAAAAAATTGTCAACCATTGTAATGTATTTATCCTGGTATCTCAGCCCACGATTATTTAAAATTTTACTGCAGTTGAATGTGGTGTCTTGTGTGTGTGCATTATTCCTAGCCCATCCACATAGACTAAACTTTCTTATAATTTCAGCGTGCCGCACAAATGCTTTTGGGTCATTCTATCGCTATGTTTCACCAACCAAGAAATCTGAAGCTTTTAATAATAGGCCGTCGTTCACAAGTAGATGTAACATGCGACAGCGAATCATCGGGATTGGTAGAAAAAGTTATAACTGCCTTCAATGAGTAAATTCATTTTAAAATTTTGTAGTAACATTGCTTTTAAATTTTCTTTTTTAGTTTGACTGAAATTATTATCCTATGTGTAAAGTGTTTACAACAGTTCAGTCCTACCTTGATGTCTTTATTGTGCGAACCAGAACTTTTAATTTGCCAATGGGAGCCAATATTTGAGATACACTTCGGCGCTCCGAAAATAAATGAGAATGCGATTACGTTAAGTTTTGGAACTGTGCTAAGTATAGTAGGAATTTATACGAAAGTTTTGAATTTGGTAAGACGGTTACAACAATAAACTTCTTAATAATATTAATTCCCTTTTTAACAAACTAGCAAAATTACGGTTTTCGCGAGGTACCACTTAATGTTTTGTGCAACAATGGAGATAATATTGAATCGAATTATAACAGTAATAAGAGTAAAAACGGGTTGATTTCGAATTCAGCGTATAATAATAATATTACGCCCAGATCATTTTCGAAATCTCTATCTGTGGCTTCTGTGTCTTCAGTAAATTGTCCACCGAATGAATTACTTTCTAACTTGGACGGTGAGTTGTGCTTGACAGCTTTAGAACATATCTTGACTTTAGCGGCTTCACAAAGCCTACTGGCTTTGAAAAACCCTTTATTGCGAACACGTGAGAAACAATTAATACGCCGTGAAGTAAGTAGTGAACTGTTGTCTTATCATGAATTCGTACGTAAAAAAGTATTATTCGAGTACCGCGATCACAAAGAAATATGGCAGCGCCGTAAACACGGACAAATCCCAATGCTGCAGGTACATGGAAACGCTAAGGATCCACAGCTTAGCACTTCCAAACAGGCGGCTGCAGCCAGAGCAAGCACACAACGCCGGTCTTTGCTTGATTTGAGAGTGAATGTTGTCCGACGTTTGCATTTACAGCAACAACAGCATCAGCGAATGTCCACCCCAATCCCTCCAAGCACCAAGGACAATAGTGGTAGTTTTGAAATGTCTCGTGTTTTAAGCCCGATAGGGTTGACAAGATGTAAAACTACGGCATCCATTGTCCCCATGCCTAACCTGGCAAGTTCTTCTGCAAAGGAACAGAAAGTTGTCGATTCTAATGACGAAACAGATCAGTCGGAGCAAGTTTTCGAAGAGGCAGAGGAAGACGTTCAATATTTTCCAGCTGAAGAACCGAAATATAGTCCATTATCATACATACAATTTGTAGAAGAAGATTATTTGCACTTCATGTCGAATTTATTCTTTATTATATGTCAAAATGATTAAAATTTAGAGAACAGAAAAGATTGCTTTTGTATACTTCGTTATAACGACTGCCAAACGTTCACAAGAGTAAATTGTTAATACTTTATTTATATTTTTGATTGTGTTTTGGACAATTGCACAGAAACTTCCAACTGATAACAACTGTAGATAGACATAATAGCGGCTTACAAAATGTTAAGGATGTATATGATTGCCTTTTTTATTACAGGAAGGAATTAAAATAAAATTTTGTATTTTTTTTTTTTTTGGCAATTTAACGCCCTTTTGACAACTAATATTCTTCTCTGACGTGAAAGAATCTAAATTCATATGTTGCTTGTAAGCTGTGTTGTGAAAAGAAGTAAGCTAATTTCTTGAATGACAATGCTTAAAATGTGTGGCATCAATTTTTAAACATATTCAACTTTACTTAAAAATCTGAAGACTTCTGACTAATTCGTATGGAACCTCAAAAGTTTAAAAAATAAATGCATTTTATACAAGAGTGTTTTTCGCTTTGTTGGGGCTTATGGCATACAATAGTGGGGAACCAGTAATGCTAATATTGAAGTATTTCAAAAATATCGACCTAAGATTCTTCGTCTCATTGTTAAATTTCGGTTGTTCGTTAGTAATCATGGCGACCCTGACTTTTCATACGTAAAAATTTAATTCAATGCGTCCATTGAAAATATCTTCTCACACAAAGTGATGACGTAAATGCAATATAATATAATATGTTTACCAGATATCTCCAATGGAATAAGAAGGTTTGAAAGGCATCATACACATAGAAGTTAACTTATTGTTGCTCCTTAAATTATTTTAATGAATTTTCTAAGTTCACACATTTTCCTTTTATTTACTCCAATGTCGAATCTGCAATGCTATACTTTGTCGATACGGTTTGGGATTCACCCATCACAACGTGCAGGGATGTAGCCATGATCACCGCAGAGCAACCTAGCCTGTCAAATCCATTAAATATCTGTTTCATCACATTAAGCTTCCATTTTCCGCGCGTCTCGTTATCGTTATACAGGAGCCCAATAAAGACCATATCAAACTATTAAACATTAAGGTTTCTCTTATTAAAAACAGGATATTTACTTCACTTTACTCTTGAGACCGAGGCATATTTACCTCACAAAGAAACGTACAAACAGTTTATTTCACAGGCAATTTAATATACTATTTCTTGGCCAAATTATAAAAATTATATTTTGGCGGGCCACCTGATTACTTGTTGTATAAATACACGAAACCAAGTACAAAAACGAAGTACCATTAACTAAAGATTTTTTTCTATTCTTCTAGTGATGTGTTGCATCTATTTTGACAAATTTAAATCCCAATACGTTAATAATTCTGCCTCTGGTAAAATGTTCGCTGCAGACGTGGAAAAACACACGTAGATGGGTTCCGAATTTGATGCTGATCAAGAATATGTACGCTTTATAATGTCTTTGAACCTTTCTTCTGCGTGCTTCGAGAAGAAGGCGTATCTTTGGTACGCTCTAAAATCGGGTAGGTATGGTTGATTGTCACTTTTGTGTATGTGCTTGAACACTCCTTCAAGCGTGTGTACGATAGTCGTTTGTAATGCTTAGCAGTAAGCTTCAGAGGTCCTCTAAAGTATATATATACAATTGATCAACATCAAATTTTAAATCGAATCAAGCTTGCTCGCCTTCTCATCTGTGTGATGTCTGTGTCAAACACTCTCCTGAAGATATCGAATTCAAATTCTGCAACATGTTTTTGGATGCAAGTTGGTATTGGGAATCCCGTAAATTAGCTTAAGAGTACCCGCACAATATAATATATACTCAGAATATCCGTTTTCGCACGCAAAAGACGTAAGTCATAGAATTGAAACTTTATTTTATTTGCTATTTTTTAAAGCAATAGTGGTAGGTGCAGAGGTTTTGTCCACAGACACGTGTAATCTTTTTATTTGTTTTTCTAGATTTCAGGAAATTACTACAGGCAAAGACGCAAGTACATATTGTTACGAAATTCGCTTTTCTCGGATACAGTTCGTATCACTGAATCGGGGTTTTTTTCTTTTTAGAGAAATACATTTGAACGTTTTCACTTCAAGTTTCTTTTATTTACAATCAATTTGTGTAAGCGTAGGCCAATTACATTTGACTTTGGCAATGCTATCGACTTCTCAACGCTAATATTCTTTTTCGGCTAAAATGTTCTTGTCCGACTGACTCTGCCTGCTGCAAATAGCTTATTTAAATACATTTTTACAAGGATAGTACTATTACATAAGTTTATGGCTTCATTTTTAATCCGTTAATCTACTTTTCCACTAATCGTTTTCCGCGACCGGCAACTGCATGACGCGCTGTGAATGCGCACTTTGGTTTTCCCTCTAGGGAATTTATTTTTTGGGAAAATCAATTAGTTGGAATGAACTGGATTTGGGATTTTCACGATAATATATATAGGATGGAACGTTTCGGAAGCAGCAGTATCATGTCGCATTGGCGCAATATAAGCCAACGTTGTGGAAGGGAGCAAGACAGAGTAAAAAACTGAAGCGCCTGAACGCAATTACTGAAGACTTCGCACTATGACCGTGTGTACTCTATACTAGCATATATTTTACGGCAGAAATATTTGTGTGCGCTTCTATGGCCGTTTGCTTAGGCAATTATATCTATAAGTAGAAACAACAAATACTTAGATTTTCCAAAATTTTGTTTGTAATTTAGATTATGAGATTCTTGGGAATTTGTATATCTGTTATCAATAACAGTAGTAACGATGTTAATTACCAGCCGTTTGTCTGCTTCCTTTTTTATTCTGATTATTTGGATGGGTAAAAACTCCTTTAATAATTTTTTGATATAACGTCGCATTCTTTTAAATGATTGTCAAAGTAAAAGCACAAAATTCTGTACTTTTAAGTGAATGGTGGGTATAATGTGTATATAAGTGCTTATGTACGAAATAGAAATCTAAATTCCAAATAAATAGTTTGTCAACGAAAATATTCGTATCAAGAAATATGATTTTATAATTTAGTTATTTTATTTATATATTTATTATTTTTATTTGCTTATACTTATACATTTGGCATATTTTATCCAATTTTCCATATCGCACATGAGTTATACGGCGGCTTTTTATATGGCATAATTATTATATTATTTATATTCTACAGTTGAACAATTAAAAAACGTGTTAGAAACCAATCCTTAATCTCAGCTTATGCAATTTAGTATAGTATAATCTTAATCAGCCCGCTGTCGCGTGAAGAATTTCGTGTTTTTATACAATAAGACTCCTAACGTAAAGTCCAGTAAGTACCGCCTATGCTGCCCCAGTCATTGTCCCTCGTAAACCAATAGCTCTTTTTATGCATAATCGTATCAAAAATTAGGTTCCTAATACATAACTTTTGTTTATTTTCATAATATTCTGCCGCATACATTGACTATTGTTATTGACAACAGGTATACAAAAAGTCCCCACGAATCTTCTAATATAAATTTTGAATATCATATAATATCTAATAATTTTCTCTGATATAACAATGCCGTCTTTATCTTCCTATCGCAAATTTATTTATTAATTTATTTACACATCAAACTCTTCTAAAGTAAATTAACAGCCCAATTCAATTGACTCCCAGAAGTAAATGTTGTACTAATTATTATTACAAGCAAATAAAAAGTATATAAGACGCAGTAAACAAAAAATTCATGTGAAATAAATAAACAAATAATAACATTAAAAAATAATTCATGTCAAATAAGAGAGGAAAGGGGCATGTACATAATTACCCACCAGATCAGTACAGAACCAACTTGCAAGTAAACGCCTAAGCCATTGCAAATATTCAAAAGCTTGGCAATCGATAACAGTAAACAATACGAGTTAATTTTCGAATCATAGTGAGATGCTAAGATTGCGATTTAATTTAAACATGACCTTGCGAAAAAAGCGCGTATTAAGCATAGTTGTTTTGATATACTTTAAAGTCTTCAATATTGAGATTGTGATATAGACATCATCCACAACTCTGAGTGGATTAAACAGCTCATAATTATATTTTCATTAAGCTTCATTGTGCCTAGCGAAGCGATTAGTGGCATTAAAGCTTATCTCACCAAGTAACCAACTTAATTCAGAAGGAAACACCAAGAATAAATCTATGTTTCTCAAGTGACGACAAGGATAACAGAAGCAATCTATTCTCGAAAGAAGGCAGAGAAACAAGCCAAATTCTGAAGAGCAAACAGCAATAAATGCTTTTAAATGGATTCAGTTTTATCTACTTTAATACCTATCAAAAGGAGATCACACAACAGAGGCATACTCATGCGTTGGTCTAACCATTTATAGCCTTTTTGGAATATAAGGATCCTTAAGCCCATTGGACCACCTCTTTACTTAAATAGATTTCAATTGGCAAATTAGTCGAATAGAATCACTGAATCGATTAACGAATTTACGTTTTTTAATTTGTGTGACTTAATGAAATACTAAGTATTGTTTGACTTCCTCCTTGAGGAAGAAAGCCTCCTGCATATTTAGGTTTAATTTCATAAAATTTAATCAACACCATGTAACCAAATTATTTAAGTCAATTTGAAGCTAATACGATTGCGATTCCAAAGAGAAGGAAGAAAACAGTTTAACACACTCAGTGTATATTAAGATCTGGCTGGATTAAATCACCGAGGAGAGATCATTATTGTATGAATTAAATGAAAGGGGTCTTAACTGGCTCCTTGAGGGACACCAAATGTCACGGGAAATTCATCCGAAGTGGTGAAGATAAACCGCACCCTGAATGATTTGTTATGCTGATAAGGGGTTATCCATTTAACTAAGTATAAACGGAAGTCTGGAGTTTGAAGATTAATAACTTATGATTAACTAAGTCAAGCGCTTCACCAAAATCAGTATATACATAACCCTCGCGAGAACCACTAGAAAAACCCTGGAAACAGGGCAAGTAAAACTCAGGGCATTCGTAAGTTGATCTTTCTGTTAGGAAAGAATGAAAAATGTTTGAATGAAGAAATATAGGATTTGATAGCAAAAGCTGAGTAACAATTCGCTCAAACAATTTAGGTAAGACATTCAGCTTAGTAAAGCCACTACAGCTCTTAACGCTCAAATTTGTGAGTTGGAATAAGGAAACTACTCTTCCAACACAAAGCACTGACTAAAAATCTTTGAAATAATACCCTATAGCTCGTCGGAGCATGATTTGAGTATGCATAATAGAATGCAAGCAGGGCCAGGCGCACCATTACATTTTAAAGAA